TGACGTATAATGACAGTATTATTAATTCTTATGACCGAATGTTATTCGCAAGCGAGACCAGCTGAGAAAATAATTTAATAATACGCCGTCGCCGTAGTAATATGTGTTGGTATTTCAAACTTGTTTTTATTTTTATTTGAGCTGTAATTAAAAATACAATTAGTGTGTCTACAATTGCGATGGCTTAATGGAAAACAAATAGTACCTACAAGCAAATATTTGTTGCAAAAAGTTCTTGTGTAGGAAAGTAATAATAAAAATTAAAAAGTTAAATTGGACTGTTGGAATGTAATGTACTTGTAGTCCCGATGAGACTTTGTGTTTTATTCAGGGCATGTCTCCGTAGTCCCCTGCACTGAAAAGCTAAACATTGTAGAAGCAAGGGTGTTTGAATACTCTTCTACAAATTGCACTTGATGCAACAACGATAAAAAAACTAGATTCACAGTTTTAATGATAAAAATAAACACAAGAATCGTTTGTAGAAGGCTAGAAGTGGAACAATTAACCGTGACAACTGACCGGAAAAATCGAATCACAGGTGTGATTTGAAAAATAACAAAATAAGAAAAAAATACATCACTTTTAGAGGGGAGAAAGAAGTCTTAAAAAAGAGAAATGTTGAAAAATGTGTTTTTTTTATTTTCCTGTTACAAGAAAATGTATAAAATAAAGCTTTTTTTATTTGAATTAAATTTTCAAAAATAAAATCGATGTATTTTTTAATGACTAAATTTTTTTTTCAAAATTGCAACTACTTAAAATCTAAATATTTTTTTTTTTTATCAGAATCGAAGTAACATATTAAGTGAATTTTTTTTGTCTTGGTTTATAGCTTACCTCCTATATGCAAATCAATAATTGACAATTGCTCGTTTTTATTATTAATTATGAATTAATAATTCATTAAAGATTATAGCTCTCGAATATTTAAAATCCCTACGCTCTGCGTCGAGCTTTGAACAATTGAACATTCCCCGTGCTATAATCTTATTATACCGGGTGGGGCATCCGTTACGCCCAAAAAGAAAATCCCCACTTCTAATTAAATAAAATTGTTGAATTTTTTTACACTTACCGGGGCATTAGTAAGGTACATTCTATAATTTTTTGGTAATTTTTCATTCACAAACAAATCCAAAAAAAAAAGTATTTTTCTCCCAAAAAATTTAATTCTAATTTTTATACTGATCTACGCAGATTCACTTCCTACAATTGTTTACAAAATCAGAAAAAAAATACCAATTAGATTTTGAATTAAACGCAATTTTTGATCTTAACTTTGAAAATATTTTTTTATGACCTGCTACTTGTGCCATCGTAAATTTAGGTGACAATGGGGAACTGCAATTGGGGTAAGATTCCAAGGTTTACAACAAAAAGACCCTTTAAAGCGGTCGGCTACCAGTAAATGATTCTTTTGTTGGCAAATTATACCATTTTGTCATAAATCACGCGTCTGGTTTGTGTTTAAATAAAAAAAAACGATTATTTGGATAACCAAGTCAAAATTTGAAATTGTGATATCAAAGTTTGATGCGGTAACAGGTACAGATTCATTTAGTGTAAAAACTTTATAGGTAAATTAACAGAAAGTATTCATAAAACACACAAAACTGTTACGAACTCATTTATTATCAAAAAAAATTAAAAAAATTCTCAAATTATACCATATCAATAATTAGTTAGGTATATGAAACATCTCCAGTTTTAATTAATTAGAAGTCGCGATTTATCAAGTGCGCGTAACCGATGCCCCACCCGGTACATATACAGAGTGATTTTTAAAAAGCGGCAAGTTCTGGCCCGATTTCAAAAATTGAAAAACTAAATTAGATGGCTTTTTTGCAGCACTAAAACTTTATACTGTTTCTATGG